GAAGGCGCTACAAGATGCTATTGCCAACGAGAGGTGAAAACGTTGAGAAGCACCAGCAGATCATCTAGGAATGCCACATCGCACCATTTATGAGAAAGGTGGTGGTGAAAAAAAAAGAAACCAACCCTCATAATTATGGTTTTACTAGTCTCTATCCCTTCACTAACAAATTAAAACAATGCTCTGCAGGACATGCCAATGTTATTTCTGAGGATTCTCCACCGTGATAGCCTGCTTTGGGTGATGGGTGGAATTGCAGTGCCATTCAGGACTCATCCAGACCCCAAGGAACTCCTGCTCACATGAGCTGATGAGTTAACTGCTGCCAGGTGGGAATGTTACTGAACTCATAGCATTGGGACCCAAGATGCGGGAGGTGGTCTGTGAAAAAAGGACGCCAATGGAAAATTTCCAGGGTCTGCTCTAAGGGTTCGATCACTGGAAGCATCACTTCTACACTCTAGCAACTGTGGGAGAAGCTCTTTTGTAGATGTTTTGTAGAACAGCCATCATGTGCTTCCTGCTATGCTGAGAACATGGTGTAGTGGAAATATATAGTGGCGTCAGCAGAAATATATACAGATGTTGGCAGCTGCTGCAGCATGACCTGCCCCCTAAATGTCCTGTTACCAAAGCTGTGTAAGACGTACCAGAAAGTCTAACTGCTTGCTTCCCTCTAAAAACTGTACGTGAGGCAGCAATGCTCAAGCCAAGAGCCAGCCCTGACCACCAAGGGACCTGCCTAACGACAGGGACGTGCTTCTGTCTGTGTCCCCTCACCCCTGGATGGGGAAAACTCATCCCAGAGCCAGCTCAACGTTGTTAGGCAGAGCCCAGCTCCCTCTGAATGGCCAGTCCCAAGCCACGGGGATCACTGGTGTGTAAGGCTGACAAATCACATGGCTCCATGCTGGCCCTTGCACAGGGATGTGTATTTTAATAAAAATAATTCTGTCAATACACAGCAGATCATCGGTTTCTTTACCATAATTCCAGTATATTTTCATAGGCTTTTTCCCAGTTAAAATCCACCCCTCCCCCTTTTTCAAGCTTTCATGCAAAGTGTCAGATAACTTAATTCACAAATACTAAGCTTAAACTGAATCAATGTGCACAATTTGCGTAATGTCCATTTAGGCAATGCTGTACCAAAGAGGAGACCTCCCCTCCTCCCAAGGCAATGAGGAGATCTGCTCCATCGCAGCCCAGTGGTGGCCGCTCCTCCAGGGCTGGTTGAAGCTGCCCACACATCACAAACAAGCTTACACGTCCCCACACAAAGTCATGGCTGCATTAGTCAGAACCTGAGCACAACAATCAGAAACCACTAGTGAAACCACAGGAATACCTGACATTAAAAAAAAAAAACAAAACAACACCAAAACCAACCAAACAAGTGACAGGTATGGGACAGATATGTCACAGCAGAAAAGCCTTTGCACTCCTCAAAAACCAGAATCAGGACAACAGGTACAAGAGCTGGCAAGAAGCTGGCAGCAGCAATGGGTGCTAGTTACAGCAGTGATGTCTGTCAGAAACTGGGTCAAGTAGACAGAGAAGAACAACTCAAGCTGGCACTACTGCTTTGAGTGCAAGAAGCAGAAAGTATCATTGCTGTCTTGTCTACAGGGATCTGCTGCCACTGTGCTGCACACTGCCAGTGGCAGAGACTCATAATTAATCACCAGCATGAGATGAGTGTGACCCCTCAGCACTAACCCTGACACAAGAGCAAGATGGTTTCTAACTGCCATGGTTTAAGGCCAGCCAGTAACTCAGAACCATGCAGCTGCTCGCTCACTCCCCTCCACCTTCCTCCCCCTGTTCCCGGAGGAATGGGGAGGAGAATCGAAATAATGTAATTCCCACGGGTTGAGATAAGAACAGTCCGGTAACTAAGGTATAACACAAACCACTACTGCTACCACCAATAACAATAACAATAAGGGAAATAACAAGGGAAGAGAATACAACCACTCACCACCCACCAACCAATACCCAGCCCGACCCAAACAGCTATCTAGCCCTTCCAGGTAACTGCCCCCAGTTTACATACTGGGCATGACATGCTGGGGTATGGAATACCCCTTTGGTTAGTTTGGGTCAGGTGTCCTGTCGCTGCTTCCTCCCAGCTTCCCCTCCTCCCTGGCAGAGCATGAGACTCACCAAGTCCTTGGTCAGAGTAAACATTACTTAGCAACAACTAAAAACATCGGTGTTGTCAGTGTTATTCCCAGGCTGAAAGTCAAAACCACAGCACTGCACCAGCTACTAAGGAGAAAAATGACTGCTACTGCTGAACCCAGGACACTACCACAGGGAGGCTCTCCATGAGAAGACAGAGAGACCATCTCATTACACCAGAACTTTTTGGCACCAGAATAACCCAATATCTAGGAGCATCTCTTGGGTTTTTTTTGCAGTGAAAACAACACAAAACAAAATGCTCTAGGATAGTCAGCACAGCTTTGCCGAAAGACTAAGTGAAGCATTAATATGACACATGACGGACTTGGCTTAAAGGAACCACAAAAAGAAGGAACAAAAAAAAACCAAAACAACTCAGATAAAGACAGCGTTGTTACAAAGATGAGAGAGAATTTTGACTGTAGCCAGACAGCAGCAAGCTGAATGTTGACCAACAGCAGAGGAAGTTGCCAAATGTGAAAGGCAAAGCCATGTACCATGGTATTTCCAACCTAAGTACCCACAATCAGCTCCTCAGCATGCCATAAACCTGGGTCTATGAAATGGAGAGCCTGCAGAACAATCTCTCACCAGGACAAGTTCGTGTGCTGCCTCAGGTTTAGCACAGGCACACAAGGGCTCCAGAAAAGAGTTAAGTGTCTCTACAACTGCAGTGAGGAAAGGACTACAGGCTGGGTAACAGCCCTCACTAGGACAACGAACAGAACTGAGAATCAGTAGAGAAGCTTTCAGTCACATGAGCTGTTCCCAGAACTGAAACAGAAGCCCCAGATTTGCAAGTTAAATTCTGTGTGGTGCAGTTCTCTGCTCCTGTCCGTCTAGAAAAGCTGTAGTACACAGAGCTTCTCCCTCTGCTTCTTTCAGCTGAGTTGATCTAATAAAAATCTCTCCTCCATCTCTAAACCTCATGTTGCCTGTTTTCTTAGGCCACCATGGCTCAAGCACTGCCTTTACACATCATATACCTTCACCAAAAGGTAGTGATAGGCATTTCGAACCACTGCCAACACCATCTGCATATTCACTGCCACAGCTGCCTTCTGCAGTGTAGGGGACACCTGATCCCTGCTCTGCCTTGGTTTCAGACCTCATGTTCCAGCTGCAAACGCAGAAAATCCTTAAAGCTCTGCACAGAGGTCACACAGCACCTTCCTTTCTTCAGCAGCACGCAAGCTCTCTGGCTGCATGAAGCCCTGGCAAAAGCTAACCCTCATTTTAAGGGCAAACTTCAACACAATCTCTTCATCTTTCATTGACCTTTCCAAAACAAAATCATAAACAGCAGTAAAATACATGTTGAGTCTGAGCTCTCCTGGGCCCTCCTCAGGGGTACTGACCTAAAATTCATTTGGTGCAGAATTACACGGCCTCCTGTGCAGCCAGACCAAGCCTGAAGTCTCCCAAGGGTACATCAGAGGATGCAAAGCACGTGGTTCTGCTACACAGCCTCACCACTTAAAAGTACAGGCTCAGAAACACAGGCAGATGGTTTGAATGCCAGCTTAGTGGCACTCGAGTCCCTGGGCTTGATACATACTGCAAATGGACACATTAGTCCATCTTACTCGGAGGTTACTCACACACAGATCCTTGCTTTGGGCCTGAAACTAAAATAATTTTCTCAGCACTCCTTAAAGAAATGTTCCTGCTTCCTTCTGAATGGCTCAAATCTTACAAAGCTGGTACTGACCTAATCCACAGCTGGTGCCACTTGCAAGGATGAGCACAGGTCAGCTTAGTGTTCCCAAGACACTGGCAAAATTTAAAAGTGCTTATTTAGATCAGTGTTACTTGAGGGGTATTACTATTATTACTGAGTCCTAGTGACAGAGCCCCCCTATATGATGAAAAAGGGGGGGTTGTGATTTAACACCAAAACTGACAGCCCAACTGGCAGCACCCACAGATGTTTCCTGGAGGCCAACGACCTGCTTCTACCAACACAATAGTAGATGACTTCATATTCATCAGTCCAGTCCTGTCCCTCTAGCTGCTGTGAGAGCTGGATTTACCCATTTCACAGGACTGAGGACTGAGAGATGATGCTGTAGTTCAGCCGCTAACATAAGGCAATATCAAGTCTTCTACTCTTCCCACTCACAAAGACAAGGACTTGTGAGGCTCGTGCTCTTGAGAGAGGCATGTACCGTGAAGGACCAAGCTCCTTCATTTCTCATAATTAGTGCATGACAGGACCTACCTCATCAAATCTCCTGAAGGGCTGCATGACATGTATGACTGGGACTGAGTCTGTGAGCAATAAATACATCGATGACTTTGTGGAGGTGGAAGAGACCTTTATAATAAACAGGATTCAAATAAAATAAATTCCCTCTGAGCTGCTACTGCAAGAAGAGTTCAGATAACTAACACAGAAAATGATGCTGTATGTGCATGATGGAGGGAGAAGGGAAGAACAAGCTGTCAGCAACTTGATGAGCTTCCTCAGTAAATCAGCAGAAACCAGCTCAGCAAAACTCTCCAGATCCATGAGAAACAACTCAAATCAAAATAAAAGAGAAATCCCTACATTGTAAGGTACTACATTAGAATAACCAGCAAAATACTGAGTGCTGCTGGAGCTACAGCAATGGCAGAGAGGCAGGTAAGATCTGCCAGTCGTTCCTGGGGTCGGGAATAGCCACATAGTGAGGGACTCACTCAATATGTTCACAGGTTCTGTGTGTGTGTGTGTGTGCTAGAGGGGGTGGGGGTGGCAGGGAGGTCAGGCTGTTGAACGAGGTGGTGGTGTAGAGTAGCAGCAACAGAAGATGAAGGGCAGCATTCAACGATGTCAACTCCATCTTGGTTCTGGTGGCTAGTGCAAATAGTCATCCACTCTGGCAAAGGAGCAGGAGCCCAAGCCCACGCGAGCCATAAGCCGCAAACACTCTGAGGCCTGGCCCAGGGTAAGCATCAGTGGGGGCTGCTTTGGCAGGTTCTGAGATTCTGTGGGGGCAAAAAACAGAAAAAACTGAAATCTGTTTAGGAGATGTGTCCAGCTGAGTGCGGGCTGCCTGCACTCGGTCCCACTCAGTCCCACCCAGGCACCAAGCCCAGCACCCCTGGCAGAAGGCCGAGGTGAGTAGCTCCAGAGAGGATGCCTTCAAAACCAGAGCAAGGGGAAACAGAGCGTCCAGGAGCCTCAATTCTGAGCAGCGAGAGCCACTGAGGGAGCCTCAAGTCCTTGACAGGACTTGCCCAGGAGCTGGCAGCTCAGCCGACACAAGCAGCTGACTCACAAGGGGCAGCGCCAGGAGGAACAGCACCATCCCTGAGTGGGTAAAAACCTGCCCCAGGGAGCCCAAGTGACCAGAAGCAAGGCAAACAGGGCATAGCACGGCAGTCTGCGCAGGCAGCAAGTGCGATGGTGAGCACTCGCCTCAGGACCAGGGCCTGGTCTGGGAGCTCTGCTCTGGCTGCCTGGACGGTGGCCAGCGTAGGCACCCAAACAGAGCTGATGAGAAGGGAGGCTGCAGCGCAGACCTCGGAGTGTAGTAGGTGCCTCCACTTGTCGCCTGAGGCAAGGGTACAAAATGGGCAGGGCTGCACTCGGTGAGCCCTGGTGGAGGTCCTCCTGCAGCAGGTGGCTGAGCTGTGGGAGACTCAGGCTCAAAGATGTCAGGGAAGCTGACAGGGAGCTGGACTGCTTGCTCCAGGCCCAAACTGTGCAGGGACCACAAGCGTACATCACAGCTCATACAGAAAAGGAGGGCATTAACCCAAGAAGCTGGGAACTAGTAACACCCCCCCTCCCCCCAAAAAAAAAAAACCAAACCAAACCAAACCAAAAACCCGCAAAAAAAAAAAACAAAAACAAAAACCCAAACAAAAGCAACCAAAAAACCGAAACCCACCCAAAGAAAGGAAGAAAAGGACAATTAAAAGCAAGGGGCTTCCTCCTAAATGTGACATCCCCACCCAGAACCACTTTGCAGTTCTGCAGGGGGCTAACGAGGAAAAACACACCTCGCCACATGAACAACCTGCTGATGCACCAGGAAAGAGGATCACTACTGGTGCTGCCAGGAAAAAGCAGGGGGTTATTGTAGCAGGTGACTCTACTTCAAAAGGCACAGAGGCACCTATCTGTTGGCCTGACCCAGTCTCGAGGGAGGTGTGTTGCCTACCAGGGGCACGGATCAGGGATGTCGCAGAGAGGCTGCCTGATCTAGTAAGTTCCGCTGACTATTATCCACTTCTAGTGGTCCATGTGGGTGCTAGCGATATAGATAGCAGTAGCCTGGAGAACATTAAGAAGGACTACAGAGCCCTGGGAGAGGTGGTCAGGTGCTCTGGAGCTCAGATAGTTTTATCATCAATATTCCAGGTTAAAGGGGAGGACCTTAAAAAAGCCAGGAAGATTTGGCAGATTAATAAATGGTTAGAACGGTAGTGCCATAGTCAGGGGTTTGGTTATTTAGAAGAAGGGAATAGGTCTGGAAGGCCAGGTCTACTGGAAGCTGGTGGAGCTAGAGTCTGACAAAGAAGGGGAAGAGCTGTTTTGGTAGGAGGCTTGCCTAGCTGGTCAACGCAGCTTTAAATGAGATGTGTTGGGTGAGGGAGGCATCTATCCTTCCCAACACCCCCAGTCAGTTGCCAGCACCTGTAATAAATGCTTGGAGCGACGCAGAGCTATTTCAGTCGCTCCAGTCGATGAGCCGGCTTCATTCGGAGCTCAGCTCAGATGCCTCTATAAAAATGCCCATCGTATGGGGAATAAGCATGAGGAGTTAGGGATGTGTGCACGGCTAAAGGGATATGATATCAGGGGCATAACAGAAACACGGTGGGATGGCTCCTATGACTGGAGTGATGGAATGGAAGGTTATAAGCTCTTCAGGAAAGACAGACCAGGCAGATGGGGAGGTGGAGTAGCTATTTATGTCAGTGATAGACTGGAGAGTATGAAACTCTGCCTGGGGACGGGTGATGGGCCAACTGAGAGCTTGTGGGTCAGGGTGAAAGGGAGAACAGCAATGGGGGACATTACTGTGGGGATCTTCTTATAGGCTGCACAATAAGGAAGATGCCGTGGATGAAGCAATCTATAGACAGACAGGAGCAGACTCACACTCACAGGGTCTTATCCTCATGGGCGACTTCAATCACCCGGACATCTGTTGGAGGGTCAGTACGGCCAGGCACAAGCAATCCAGGAGATTCCTTGATTGTGTGGAAGACAACTTCCTCCTGCAAGTAACAGAGGAGCTGACAACGAGAGGTGCCATGCTTGACCTCGTGCTCACCAACAGGGAAGGGCTGGTGGGGAATGTAAGACTCCAAGGCAGCCTTGGCTGCAGCAATCATGTGACGGTAGAGTTCGAGATCCTCAGGGCAGTGAGAAGGGCACACAGCAAGCTCACTGCCCTGGACTTCAAGAGAGCAGACTTTGGCCTCTTCAGGAACCTGCTCAGTAAGGTTCCATGGGATAAAGCCCTAGAGGGCTGGGAGGCCCAAGACTGCTGGGGATATTGAAAGATCACCTGCTACAAGCTCAGTAGCGTTGCGTTCCAACTAGAAGGAAATGGGGCAAGAAGGCCAGGAGACCTCCATGGATGAATAAGGAGCTGCTGAGGAAGCTTAGAGGGGAAAAATGAGGCTTATAAAAGGTGGAAGCAAGGACAGGTGGCCTGGGAAGAATACAGGGACATTGCCCAGGAAGCTAAGGCCCAGCTAGAATTAAATCTGGCAAGGGATGTGAAGGAAAACAGAAAGGGCTTCTATAGGTATGTAGCAAATGAAAGACAGACGAGGGATTACGTGGGCCCTCTCCGGAAGCTATCAAGAGAAATGGCTACCCTGGATTTGGAGAAGGCTGAGGTTCTCAACAACTTCTTTGCCTCAGTCTTCACTGGCAAATGCTCTGACCACACCACCCAAGTCTTGGAAGGCGGTTGCAGGGACCCTGAGAATGAAGACTTTAGGCCCACTGTAGGAGAGGATCAGGTCTGAGACCATCTTAAGAACCTGAATGCACACAAGTCCATGGGACCTGATGAAATCCATCCGTGGGTCCTGAAGGAGATGGCAAAGGAAGTTGCTAAGCCACTGTCCATCACGTTTGAAAAACCGTGGCAGTCAGGTGAAGTTCCTGATGAGTGGAAAAAGGGAAATATAACCCCCCTTTTCAAGAAGGGGAAAATGGAAGACATGGGGAATTACAGACCAGTCAGTCTCACCTCTGTGCCTGCCAAAATCTTGGAGCAGATTCTCCTGGAAGGCATGCTAAGGCACATGAAAAGCAACCAGGTGGTTGGTGACAGCCAACATGGCTTCACTGAGGGGAAATCCTGCCTGACCAATTTGGTGGCCTTCTATGATGGGGCTACGGAACTGATAGACAGGGGCAAAGCAGTTGACGTCATCTACCTGGACTTGTGCAAAGAAGCATTCGACACTGTCCCGCACGACATCCTTGTCTCTGAATTGGAGAGGCATCAATTTGATGGATGGACCACACTGTGTATAAAGAATTGGCTGGATGGCCACACGCAAAGAGTTGTGGTCAATGGCTCAGTGTCCAGTTGGAAACAATTAATGAGTGGTGTCCCTTCAGGGGTCGGTGTTGGGACCGGTCTTGTTCAACGTCTTTGTCGGCACCATGGACAGTGGGATTGAGTGTGCCCTCAGCAGTTAGAAAAGAGATTCAGAGCAGCCCTGCGCGGATGATGAGAAACTGAACATGAGCTAGCTTCAGTGTGTGCTCGCAACCCAGACACCAACCATATCCTGGGCTGCATCAAAAGGAGCGTGACCAGCAGGTCGAAGGAGGTGATCCTGCCCCTCTACTCTGATCTCATGAGACCTCACTTGGAGTACCGTGTACAGTTCTGGTGTCCTCAACATAAAAAGGACATGGAACTGTTGGAACAAGTCCAGAGGAGGGCCACGAGGATGATCAGGGGACTGGAGCACCTCCCGTATGAAGACAGGCTGAGAAAGTTGGGGCTGTTCAGCCTGGAGAAGAGAAGGCTGCGTGGAAACCTCATATCAGCCTTCCAGTATCTGAAGGGGCCTACAAGGATGCTGGGGAGGAACTCTTCATTAGGGACTACAGTGGTAGGACAAGGGCTAACGGGTCCAAACTTAAACAGGGGAAGTTTAGATTGGATATAAGGAAGAAGTTCTTTCCTGTGAGGGTGGTGAGGCACTGGAATGGGTTGCCCAAGGAAGTCGTGAACGCTCTACCCCTGGCAGTGTTCAAGGCCAGGTTGGATGGAGTCCTGGGTGACATGGTTTAGTGTGAGGTATCCCTGCCCATGGCAGGGGGGCTGGAACTAGATGATCTTAAGGTCCTTTCCAACCCTAACTATTCTATGATTCTAAGGCACTGGCTCTGGAAGGAAGCTACTCCTGAGCAACAGTGGCTCTGCACCGCTGCTCCTCTGCACACCCTACCACCCGTGACACATCCCACATGGAGCCACAGCTCACCAGGGCCTTTGAGAAATCGCTACTGTGGTGGCCAGAGCAAGAAAAAGGCAGTTGAGCTCCTGTTGCCTTAGTGTCTGCCAGAAAACCCTCAAACCATGAGATATTATAGCATGGAAGAATAAGGAAAGGCAGGAGAAATTGGGAACAAATGAGAGGCAATGTCTCCATCTCTCCCGCTTATGCAAGTCTACACAGCTGTCCAAGCACTAGACAAACTCACTCACTGGGCACTGCTTCTTTTCAACATAATGTTTGCTATGTATGCAAGAGGGAATCCTTAGCTGACCTTGACAGACAAGGTATCTTGCCATCTGTGTGATGAAGCATGTCCAGACGCCATCTTTCATATCTCCCTGGTGACACCCCTCAGCAACTTGACCATGATTCTCAAGTGCTGGACAAACAACAATTGAGTTACCCAGCTGGACTCAGTCCATGCTGACTGTCAGGGGAAGGGACTCTCCTTCCCAAACTATATGCACATCATGGGAACACACAGAGGCAACGCTTGAAGGGAAGACAAACCCTGTCTGCATTTAACTCTGCATGTTTGGCATAAGCTCAAAGGTAAGTGGTATTATGGCTCCCCTCTGCTTTACAGCCAGCACTGTGGAAACCTGCTTCACTTACAGTTTATTGCAACAGAGCAACTGCATTCCCTGCCAGAAAGTAGGATGATGGCAGGACAAGACTCTGCCAACCCAAACAGCATGGAAGAGCTCTGGTAATGCCAGCAAAATGATTCAGGTGAGTTCAGAGCAAGAAGCAAGAGGAGCAAGAAATGAATCAGAGATCTTGGCTTCTTCAGTAAGCAAGGGAGGAAAATCATAAGGAACATCCTTGGAAGCAGCACTGAGAAAGACCCAAGGAAGGGAGTCAAAATTAGATTACATCAGAAGGATCCCTTCTCTGCAGGCTTCCCTCCCACCTCCCTTCCTGCATCACTGCCCTATCAGTCCCCAGCAACAGGAAGAGGCAAAAGCTAACCACAAATATTTCTGAGCTTTTCCTGACACTCACAGGCTTGCCTGACACAGAACAGCCCTTGAGAGGTAAGTCCAGTGGGTAGCACTCACATAGGAACCAGGCCTTACCCAATATAGCACTATTAAGAGCAGCACACACAGGTTCCCTCTGGACTGGGTCCAACTGTTGACCAACGGGGCAGTTCCAAGGGTCTGAGTAAGCCAACAAGCTAAATGCATCCTGTGCGAGAGAACAGAAAGGCACAGTAAGGTCATGCATGGCTGCAAAGACACAGGAAAACCAGGTCCATCAGCTGGGGCACCTCCTGCCACTGACAAGGTGACAGGTGCCTACCTCCTGAAAAGAAAGGGCCCTTCTTGGCAGCAAGGGACCACACTGAGCTATCAAGATAGTGGATTAAAAAGGGTGCCCCCTCCACCTGCCAGGGGAGCCAGCACGGTAAGACAGGTAGTCACCTGTAGAGAAGAGCATGCAGTTGCTCCAGGGAGGCAGGCAGGAACTGTGTTTCTTCTCTCCTGTGCTGAAAATTGGGTCTAGATGCTCTGTGCTCACCAAGCTTTCACCTCTGATCCCCATACAGGCCCCCTCTTCCTCACCAGGAGCAGAAGTGGGGGCTACCCAGAGCTCTGCAAAAGAACCCACAATCCCAGTGCTGGCCCACAGAACTACTGTGATGCAGCACAAGGCCCAGGCTTACCTGAAGCATCTCTTTGTGCACTGTGTTCTTTCCATATTCACTGCAAAGCTGCTCACTCAGTATTTGCAGCTCACGTCCAAACTGGATCATTCGCTCCGTGGCAGCATGGCTCCCTCCACAGAGTTGCCTCTGGGGGCAGCAGTCTTCTAGAAGAAAGGCAGTGGAGAAGTAACAACCGTCTTCCATTCCCCACTGCTGCCCACTCTGTGACATGCCACCCATAAACTCCTTCCCCTTCTGGAGCAGGTAGCTGCTCTCCACTCTAAGTTTATCCCACTGGAAGCTTTTTGTGATCCCTGCACTGCAAGAGCCAGTAATATTTTTTTCACAGCACCTTTTAGGTACAGGAAAACTTGAGCTCAGTTTGCTTAATGCCTGAGGATTAGCTACATTTTGAGTCTTCTGATAAAATCATGGGAGCTTGCAACTCCAACAGTGTTTCCCCTTCACATGTGTAATATAGTGCACACAACATGGAAACTCCTGGTCTAACCAATCCCAGACTCCAAAAACTTTCAGTCAGAGATGCTAACACCACCAACTTCCCAGAACTGGTTGCCCACAAGACCCATTCGAACTGGAGGAATCCCCAGTTTCAGAGGTAGTGTAGCTGATTAATCCTTTCTCTCCCAGCTAAAGCATCCACAAACACGACAGTTGTAGCTGACCACACTTTGCTGAGGACACTTTGTGACTGGGCATCAGCCAGCTTTGCGCAGCTCTGTTCGGTTCCTCAGTTGGCAAAAGTGCCAGGACTGCTTTGAGCTGGTTTCACAACCAGTGCTGAATAACCCTTTGACTCCTATTGCTTTCCCTGCTCCACATCACCAGCACTGCTGAGACTATGAAAAGCCAGAGCTAGTTTAGTTCCAGGACAGATTCATCTTCCCCATGAAACAGGCATCTCGAGAACTTCATTCACTGGGCTGGGTATGTGGTTTTTTTCTCTACAATCCAATTACAATTTAACTCTCAATACCAACTCTTTCTATTTCCCTTTACCCCTCTTGCCTCTGAGGCCCTACCCATGCTGGATTCATCTGTCTGCAGGATCTCTTCATGTTTGTAGGTTCCATTCATTATCCTGGTGGATGAATGTTCCAGGACTCCGTTTGGATAATGCTCAGCCTCCACTTCCATCTCACTGTCACTGAGGTGAAAGGAAGAAAGTGGGTCCGTGCAAACCTCATGAAGTTCAACAAGGCCAAGGGCAAATTCCTGCACTTGGGTAGGGGCAATCCCAAACACACAGGCTGGACAGAGACTGAATGGAGCAGCCCTGAGAAGGACTTGGGGGTGTTGGTCAATGAGAACCACTCCATGACCCACCAGTGAGCACCTGAGCCCAGAAACCACCCATGTCCTGGGCTGCATCTCCACAGCGTAAACAGCAGGTTGAGGGAGAGGACTCTTCCCGTCTACTGTGCTCTGGGGAGACCCACCCCTGCAGTCCTGCATCCAGCTCTGGGGCAACACCACAGGAGGGACATGGAGCTGTTGGAGCAAGGCCAGAGGAGGCCACAGAGATGCTACGAGGGCTGGTGCAGCTCTGCTCTGGAGACAGGCTGAGAGAGCTGGGCTGGTTCAGCCTGGAGAAGAGGAGGCTCCAGAGAAACCTTAGAGCAGTTCCCAGTGCTTAAAGGGGCTACAAGAAACCTGGAGAGGGGCTTTGGACAAGGGCCTGTAGGGACAGGACAAGGGGGAATGGCTTTAACCTGCCAGAGGGGATACTGAGATGAGATCTTAGGCAGAAGTTCTTCCCTGTGGAGGTGCTGAGGCACTGGCAAAGGCTGCCCAGAGAAGCTGTGGCTGCCCCATCTCTGGCAGCGTTCAAGGCCAGGTTGGACGGGGCTTGAAGTAACCTGCTCTAGTGGAAGGTGTCCCTGCCTGTGGCAGGGGGCTGGAACTGGATTATCTCTAATGTCCCTTCCAACCCAAACCAGTCTGTGATTCTATGAGCCCCCAAGCCCAAGCCAGAGCAGGGGAACTGGAACAGGCTTGTTTCTGCTGGGAATAGTAGTGATCTTGTAGATAATGAGGAGTTATTCTGCTGTTCAGAAGAGCAGGACAAATGCCTGGCTCCTCAGAAAGCAGACTGAGCCCTCTCCCACCATCTCAGCCTCCTCAGGCATCTACAAAGGAAAACAAATACCTGGTTTCTTGGTTACTCATACTACTGTGCTGCTGAGATTTAGTAGAATCTGTAGAATTAGACTCAGAGTAATTCACAGATGAGGGGGAGGAGGAGAAGGAAGATGAAGATGATGAACTCAGTGTTGGGTATTTACTGTGACTCTGTTTGCTTTTCGTGGACATGACTCCATTTCTACAGGTTGGGCTATCTGCTCCTGAAAGTCAAGAGGAAAGGGAAAAACGAGACCAGACTGACAATATAATTCAATTGTGAAGCCAACAATTTAGCAAGAGAGCAGGCCCCAAAGGAAGACAGCAAAATAAGGATGCAGAGCTTAAATTATGGCTTATTGTTCTTAAATTCAATGGGGCTTAGAGAAAACACAAATGAATATGGAAAGAACCTCACTGCTCAGCGGCAACATCCAAGCTTAAGGAAGTTCTAAAACCAGGCTGTAAATAAAGGATGAGCGGAAACAGCTCACACAAGTATAGAAATTACTGTTGAAATATGAAGCATAGATGGTTTGTAAAGAAGTTTACCAACTCTCAACTGCTCCCCCCAAAAAGGTCCCTAACAAGCTGTGGACCTCACTAACGCAGGACACAAACAGGTCATTACTGAAAGTTTTATATGGATTCAGAAAGGACTGGCTAAGCTTACAAGGGCTATTTAACACCCAGACCACTGCAAATGATTAGAGGCTCAAATAATAATTTGGGAAAACCTCAATATGTTTTTTCTGCCTTCCTATACCCTTCCCTAGGCAACTACTATTGACCGCAGGATCTTGGCTAGATGATGGGACCTGGGCATGGCTGCTCTTCTAGAAATACTGATATATCCAAATTCATCAGCTGATCATACAGTTATATTTATAGCTAGGGAATTTCTGGTTTTATCATGACAACAGAGAGTCAAACAAGGAGCAATTCTGTGCATTTTAATGACAAGGATGCAGCAGACTGTGCACAACAGTTCTGCTTAACATTTCAAATATGCACTGATGAAATGATCACTATTTTCAAAGCACAAGGACTGACAGAGAGAACTGTGAAGGTGATGTCCCATGGATGGAGCCATACATATGAATGCTGCCTCGTGCTACAGGTGTAGGCATCTCCTGGCTGAAAAAAAGGTATTACCAAGAGCTTCTATAGACTGATGGGATGATTCTGACTGTCTAGTCGGAGAAAAATACCCAGGGCTCCTCACAATACAATACAGGAAAAAAAAAGATACTGGCTTAGGAAGGTGAGTGACATCTTGGAGGCATTCATAGAATCATAGAATAGTTAGGGTTGGAAAGGACCTTAAGATCATCCAGTTCCAACCCGCCTGCCATGGGCAGGGACACCTCACATTAAACCATGTCACCCAAGGCTCCGTCCAACCTGGACTTGAACACCACCAGGGATGGAGCATTCACAACTTCCCTGGGCAACCCATTCCAGCGCCTCAACAGCCTTACAGTAAAGAACTTCCTCCGTATATCCAATCTAAACTTCCCCTGCTTAAGTTTTAACCCCTTACCCCGTGTCCAAACACTACAGTCCCTAATGAAGAATCCCTCCGCAGTACTTACCAATTCAAGTAATTGTCTTCCTTTCAATTCAGTGTTTGCTTGTCCACAACAGTGGGAATACTGAAACAAAATACACATAGATGGCCTGTTACAGGCCACCTGATCGGGAGAACTCTGTGGACGAAGCAATCTATAGACAGATAGGAGCAGTCTCATGCTCACAGGCTCTAGGCCTCATGGAGGACTTCAACCATCCTGATATCTCTTTGAGGGACAGTACAGCCTGGCACAAGCAATCCAGGAGATTCCTCGACTGTGTGGAAGACAACTTCCTCCTGCGAGTAACAGAGGAGCTGACAACGAGAGGTGCCATGCTTGACCTTGTGCTCACCAACAGGGAAGGGCTGGTGGGGAATGAAAGACAGACGAGGGATGACGTGGGCCCTCTCCGGAAGCTATCAAGAGAAATGGCTACCCTGGATTTGGAGAAGGCTGAGGTTCTCAACAACTTCTTTGCCTCAGTCTTCACTGGCAAATGCTCTGACCACACCACCCAAGTCTTGGAAGGCGGTTGCAGGGACCCTGAGAATGAAGACCTTAGGCCCACTGTAGGAGAGGATCAGGTCTGAGACCATCTTAAGAACCTGAATGCGCACAAGTCCATGGGACCTGATGAAATCCATCCGCGGGTCCTGAAGGAGCTGGCAAATGAAGTCACTAAGTCACTGTCCATCACGTTTGAAAAACCGTGGCAGTCAGGTGAAGTTCCCGATGAGTGGAAAAAGGGAAATATAGCCCCCATTTTCAAGAAGGGAAAACGGAAGACCCAGGGAACTACAGACCAGTCAGTCTCACCTCTGTGCCTGGCAAAATCTTGGAGCAGATTCTCCTGGAAAGCATGCTAAGACACATGAAAAACAAAGAGGTGGTTGGTGACAGTGTCCTGTGTTCAGCTGTAACAGGTATTTTTCTCCTTCCTAGTAGCTGCTGCAGCGCTATGTTTTGGCTTCAGTCTAAGAACAATGCTGATAACACACTGATGTTTTCAGTTGTTGCTAAGTAATGCTCACCCCGATCAAGGACTTTTCAGTCTCATGCTCTGCCAGTGAGGAGAGGCACAAGAAGCCGGGAGGAAGCAGAGGCAGGACACCTGACCCAAACTAGCCAAAGGGGTATTGCATACCACAGTATGTTCACGTCCAGTACAGAATCTTGAATCTTGGGAGAGTTATACAGAAGGGGCTGATGGCTGCTCGGGTCATCGGGTGGTGAGCAATTGTATTCTCTCCCCTTGTTATTTCCCTTATCATTACTATTGGTGATAGTAGTAGTGGTTTTGTATTACACCTTTGTTACCGGACTGTTCTTATCTTAGCCCATGGGATTTACATTGTTTCCATTCTCTTCCCCATCCCCCTGGGAGTGGGGTGAGGAAGAGGAGGGGGAGTGGTTCTGAGTTACCAGCTGCGTGGTTCTGAGTTACCAGCTGGGCTTAAACCACGACAGTCAGCCAGCATGGCGTCACTAAGGGGAAATCCTGCCTGACCAATTTGGTGACCCTTCTATGTTGGGGCTACAGAACTCCTGGATTGAGGCAGAGCAGTTGATGTAATCTACCTGGACTTCTGCAAAACATTTGACACTGTCCCGCACGACATCCTCATTTCTAAACTGGAGAGACATCAGTTTGATAGACGGACCACTCGGTGGATAAAGAATTGGCTGGGTGGCCACATGCAAAGACTTGTGGTCAACAGCTCAGCGTCCAGTTGGAGACCAGTAATGAGTGGTGTCCCTCAGGGGTCGGTGCTGGGACCAATCTTGTTCAACGTCTTTGTCAGTGACACGGACAGTGTGCCCTCTGCAAGTTGGCCGATGACACCAAGCTGTGTGGTTCAGCTGATACGCTAGATGGAAGGGATGCCATCCAGAGGGACCTTGACACGCTTGAGAGGTGGACTAATGCCAACCTCGTGAAGTTCAACCAAGCCAAGAAGCCAAGTGCAAGGTCCTACACCTCGGTCGGAGCAATCCCAGGCACAGCTACAGGTTGGGCAGAGAAGAGATTCAGAGCAGCCCTGCAGTGAAGGACTTGGGGGTGCTGGTCAATGAGAAACTGAATATTATCTGCTTCACTGTGTGCTTGCAGGCGAGAAACCAACCGTGTCCTGGGCTGCAGCAAAAGAAGCATGACCAGCAGGTCGAAGGAAGTGATCTTGCCCCTCTGCTCTGCTCTCCTGAGATCCCACTTGAAGCACTGTGTGCACTTCTGGTGCCCTCAAAATAAGGACACGGAGCTGTTGGAGCATGACCAGAGGAGGGCCACGAGGATGATAAGGGGGCTGGATCACCTCCCATATGAAGACAAGCTGAGAAAGTTGGGGCTGTTCAGCCTGGAGAAGAGAAGGCTGCGTGGAGACCTCATAGCAGCCTTCCAGTATCTGAAGGGTCCTCACAAGGATGTGGAGAGGGACTCTTCATCAGGGACTGTATTGATAGGACAAGGGGTAACGGGTTCAAACTTAAACAGGGGAAGTTCAGGTTAGATATAAGGAAGAAGTTCTTTACTGTGAGGGTGGTGAGGCACTGGAACAGGTGGCCCAAAGTAGTGGTGAATGCTCCATCCCTGGCAGTGTTCCAGTGTTCAAGGCCAGACTGGACAGAACCTTGGGCAACATGGTCTAGGGTGAGGCATCCCTGCCCATGGCAGGGGGTTGGAACTGGATGATCTTAAGTTCTTTTCCAACCCCAAACATTCTGAATCTCTGCTTATATCTTGCAAGAGCAAAGTCCACGGGGGCAGTAGATACTCTAATGCAAGGCATCCCCCTAACCTTTCCCTCAGTTGGCCAGAACAGAGCGTCTTCTGCTCAGTTGTTACTGGAAAGCAATTCTTTTGCAGACTCCAAGGTCCAGGAACATGCTTTGTTTTCCAGACCTCCCTGTACAGCTCTGTCAGTGGAACACTGAGTCACTAGTGGCTGCACTAGAAGGCCATCTTCAAAAGCTTCTTTTTTGTGAAAATAACCTGCTGTGCAGACAACTGTCAGTGGAAAATACCTAATGCAAAACCAGTTCTGCAACAGTGTAGACACACCCATGATCACAGTATGTCTTCTCAGCTGGTTATCAGAAAGGAAAGGAGAATTCATAGAATAATGCACAGAAAGTAGCAGGTAAGGTAACACACAACCATGTCCACCTTTGACATTTGCTCTTCTCAGTACAAGACACAGAAAACACGCTTACCAGTACTATGAACGTGTGAGTTGCTCGATCCATGTCTAGGACTTAAGCTGGGGGACCTGGGGTAACTGTCCTGGGATCTGGGGCTGCGGGCACTGAAACAACGGACTTCGCTGTCTGTCCCGATCACCATCTCCACAAACTGCCGACACCTGGTTGCACAGGAGGTAAGAAGGAGAAGAGGCTGCGTGACAGCCAGGATGCTCTGCACCAAGGCTTCCTCAGTTACCGAGTGGAGAACTTCCGGAAACTGCATAGGAGTTAAACTTCTTGGCTTTCAAAAAGACATTCCAGACTCCCGGTACCCGTGTATTGCAAGTGCTCTGATAATGCTATAGGAGGAAGGAGTTTGGAAACTGCAACTTCGAAGTTAATGAATGTTGAGACATTCCCCAAAAGCAAGCTTATTTCCACTGTGGTAAGAATAAACTGTTCCTTTACAGCATGCTTTCATCTCCACCACCTCTAGCAGGTACTCCAAAATTCAATTGTGGGTTGGTTTTTGATTGTTTGTTTGTTTGTTTTGTTGTTGGTTGGGTTTTTTTTTCCAGGTAGAAGATACTAAATCTGCCAAACATCATAGTTCCCCCACTACTCCATCAGCCTGGAAATACTGGTGGCTAATAGAAAACAGAGAAGCAAGGGTAAAAAATGCAATATCCACAGGGACAGTGAGGACAGCTCCTCATTTAGCTTTACTGGGAATTGTCCTTATATGTCTCAGAAGGCTGGGGAGAGCCACTCTGTATGGCTGGAAAAACTGGGACACATAAGCTCTTTTTCCTTTTAAACTCTTCCCCAGACAGCCTTTTCTATACCCCTGCCTTTCTAGGAACCTTCACAGTGACTACCGCGTGCTCCAGTGCTGCAAGATCTCCACAAGACAAGTAAAGGCCATCTGTGAAGGAGCAGAAATTCCTTCACAGAGCTAAAATTTCACCTACTTCTGGCCTGACCTCACAAGGCAAAGCCATACCAGGTCTGAGCAGCAACAAAAGGGCTAGGTCTACATTGCTACAAGGACTGTGCAAAGGACTGAACCTCCGTCCTCTCCCACCTGCTCTTGAAGGGATCTCAAACAGTTTAAATTCAGACAAAGGTGTGCAGCCAGACTGGATGGCTGGACAGCCTCTTTCTTCTCTCCATCTACACATTTCAACATTAGGGAGTATAAAGCTATTCATACTTACTTTAACATGAAGAGCAGGTTAGGGTTATGTTCTAGAAGACCAGGATAGAGCTGCTGGGTGGCTTCTATAGCCTCTCCCACTCTGCCTGCTAACACTAGCTTCTGTATTCCTGAAAGCAAAAGGAGATCCATTGACACACAGGACTGCCCAACAAAAATGGCCAGAGGAGTTGTCTCACATATGCTACATGGCTCCCCACTACCACCTTGCCCATGGGCTAGGAAGAACTGGGGAACACATCTTGTTTATTATGGATTAGTGTGAGGAAAAGCCTGATAGAATCTGTTAGTAGCTCAGAAACACCAAGAGTGGAAGGATCTGAAGGATGAAGTAGGTGCACTGGGGTGAGGTGCTCTGGGACTTTTGTCCTTTAGTCCCAGAGCTATGTAGCCATGGAAAAGAAAGCAGGACACAACAATTTCAGAGGTCATCACCAAGCATGAAGGTGGTCTTCAGGAGTAGTCAGCCTGGATTCACAAAGGGTAAATCTTGCTTGACCAATCTGATAGCCTTCTATGATGACATGGTGTCCTGGGTTCAGCAGTAGCAGTCATGTTTGTTTTTTTTTTCCTTTGTGCTAGCTGGTGCAGTGCTGTGTTTTGACTTCCAGCCTGAGAACAGTGTTGGTGAAGTCAATGTTTTCAGTTGTTGCTAAGTGATGTTTACCCTGACCAAGGACTTTGTGAGGCTCATGCTCTGCCAGGGAGGAGGGGAAGCCGGGAGGAAGCAGAGATGGGGCGCCTGACTCGGGCTAGCCAGGGAGGTATTCCATACCACAGCACGTCATGTCCGGGGTGGGGGGTGACTGGGAGTTACCCGGAAGGACACGGGGCTTGCGGGGGGAACTCGTCTTCTTGGCCGGTGGTATCGTATTCTCTTCCCTTGTTATTTTCCCTTATCATTGTTGTAGTTGATAGTTGCGGTGGTGATTTGTGTACATTGGTTGCTGGACTGTTCTTGTCTCAACCTGTGGGAGTTGCACTCTTTCGATCCTCCTCCCCGTTCCTCCGGGAGTGGGGGAGAACCCCGGTGGGGGGGGGGGACACGGACCTCGATTGTTGTCAGCTCGGCACCACTCACTGGGAGTGAGTGAACAAGTTACCTGACTGGGTTTAAACCACGACACATGGCAGGATAGGTTGATGAGGGGAGAGCAGTGGACGTTATCTACCTTGACTTCAGCAAGGCTTTTAACACTGTCTCACATAACATCCTGGTAGGTAAGCTTAGGAAACATGGGTTAGATGAATGGACAGTGAGGTGGACTGAGAACTGACTGAATGGCAGAGCTCAGAGGGCTGTGATCAGTGGAGTAGAATCCAGTTGGAGGCCTGTAGTCAGTGGTTTTCCCCAGGGATCAATACTGAGTCCAGTCTTATTCAACTTGTTCAGCAAGTTTGTTGATGATAGGAAGCTGGGGAAGCGGCTGATACACCTGAAGCTGTGCAGCCATTCAGCGGGACCTTGATAGGCTGGAGAATTGGGCAGAGAGAAACCTAATGAGGTTCAAAAAGGGCAAGTGTAGGGTACTGCACCTGGGGAGGAAGAACCCAAAATACCAGCACAGGGTGGGGGCTGACCTACTAGAGAGCAGTTCAGCTCAGAAGGACCTGGTAGATGATTGGTAGATGATAAGTTGACTATGAGCCAGCAGTGTGCCCTTGAGCCAGGAGGGCCAAAAGTATCCTGGGGTGCATGGGGAGGAGCGTGGCCAGCAGTCGAGGGAGGTGATGCTCCCCCTCTACTTGACCCTGGTGGGGCCACATCTGGAGCACTGTGTCCAGTTCTGGGCTCCTCAGTACAAGACAGACAAGGAGCTACTGGAGAGGGTCCAGTGGAGGCCACAAGGATGATCAGGGGTCTGGAGCATCTCTCTTATGAGGAGAGACTGCGTGAGCTGGGGCTGTTTAGTCTATCGAAGAGCAGACAGAGGGGATCTCATCAATGCAGATCAATACCTCAAAGGCAGGTGCCAGAAGGATGGTGCCAACTCTTTTCAGTGGTGCCCAAAGACAAGATGAGGAGCAATGGCCATAAACTAACACACAACATGAGGAAGAACTTCTTTCTGTTGAGGGTGGCAAAGCATTGGAACAGGCTGCCCAGGGGGGTTGTGGAATCTCCCTCTCTGGAGACATTCAAAACCCACCTGGTTCCTCTGTGACCTGCTCTAGGTGGCCCTGCCTTGGTAGGGGGTTGGACTGGATGATCCCCAGAGGTCCCTTCCAATGCTAATGGTTCTGTGATTCTGTGAAGACCCCAGGTCACTCCCATGTTACATCCTCTGGCTGGTTCACACTTGGAAGTGTATGTATGGCTGAGCATCAGACAAGCAGAGTATTCTTAGAGGGTCTTCAGGCTTAAACCACAGCCCAGTGCTGTTTCCCCAATATCACTACCTCTAAGTAGAAGTAGTTATACCAACAAAACTGGGCTCCTGCAAGTCCCACCTCAATGCATTGAAGTAACCTGAGCTTGGCCTGCAATAAGAATGCGGCACCTGTAAGCTGGCTCCAAGAATCAGCTACTGACTAAGCTAGAAACAGCCCAACGAGTTGTATGTTTCTAGGAGGTGCAAAGATACAAGGCAGAAGCCATCTATGATCCTGGGTGTTCATGGCCCGCATGTGTCAGAAGACACAAGAGCAAGACCTAACTTGAGATCCCACCCCTGAACACTCAGCAAAGTTGCTGATCTACTGAGGTTCACACTTTTTTTTTTTAACAAGTGTCCTTAAAACTACAAATGCATTGCACTTCCTTCTCTGTTTTTCCAGGACTCCTTACAAACAACAGAAAGAAGATTTTGGATCACCTGCTCTAATGACAGCAAGCCATGACTTTTGCAAGTCATGAGCAGTTGAAAGCCCAGCCTGGAAATCCTCATTAGCAACCCCCAGTAACAACATGCAATGACTTGTTTTGGCTCCCACGTCTCAGTGTCTATCTGCTTGTCAACGTAGCTGAAAGCCAAAACCAAAGAGGTAGCTCTCACACCAATGTGTGTTGCACTCCTTCATCTCACTCTCTGTTTCTCATCTCACTGCTTCTGACAGCTCTCTTTGCCTTGTTTGGCAACTCTCACAGATGTCATTGCTTTTTTACTTCCCCCTCTCTTTGTTTTCCCATCTGTGTATTCCTCACACCTTTTATTTGAGCCCCAGCTTCAAAGCTCCTCTGTCTGTCTCATCACCTGTCTTCGGACAAATGAGACTGCACTGGCTCATGAACCTCTGGAAGGCTTTACCACCAAAACCCACACCAGCAGAACACTGACTGGGGTCAGGGTTGCACAATGCATGACTTCGAAAGCATAAAGTCCATCACCACTACCGGCCAGCAGCTACAAGTTATCGTGGGTACTAAGCAGAGTCCCCAGATGAACCTGAATGCTGGCTAAGCGCATGTAATGTATGGAGAGTGAGCTGCAAAAGGGCACGATCCTCCCTATGTGTAACAATCACATCAGGAACAGTTCACAAAAGGAATGGAAACTACAGAGTCTGATGTAGCCTGCAGTCAACAGCCACAGGCCTTACTCTGCAGCAACCAAAAGCCCTTACAGCCTCCCCAGCTAAGAGATAAGCCACTCTGGAGGAAACATCAGTAATCAAACCAGACAGTGAATGCAAATCCTTCACCCAGTGAAAGCTAAACACATTGGCTGCAAGTTTGCAAAACCTTCAATATGCAAAGAACTTGCATGAAAACAAAATGTATGAAAGGACTGGAAAGTTCATTAACTCTGGAAGCTGCAGTAAAAACAGATTGATATGTCTGAGTCCCTATGAGCAGGCTAATGAAACTAATGACCCAAAATGCTAATAACCCAAACCCAAAGGGATCTCTGGCACACAGTGACCTCAGTTCAGATAAAGTCCAAGGTAACCATTCTATTTGCCACTGATTTAGCACTACCTTCAAGAAAGCACCTTAGATACCATGTTTAGCCTGATGTGTGAAACTGCTGGACTCAAAGCTGAGTCATCTCAACTTCCAGGATTCAGCTATTCATTTTCAACAAGACTGAGGAAAATTAACCAAGTTGATCAGAAAACTTTGCACACTCAACACTGACAGGCATGCAGGTCAGTGCTCAGAGCAGACAGGCAAAGGAAAGAATAGGGCAGTTCCTCAGGCAAAGAGGGCAGAGAGTGGAGGGGTGTCATGGTTTAAGCACAGCTGGTAACTCAGAACCACGCAGCTACTCACTCACTCCCCCAATTCTTCCCCCTCCCAGAGGGATGGGGAGGAGAATGAAAAGAATGTAACTCCCACAGGTTGAGATAAGAACAGTCCAGTAACTAAGGTATAATACAAAATCACTACTGCTACCATCAATAATAACAATGTTAAGGGAAATAATAAGGGGAGAGAATGCAATTGCTCACCACCTGCCGATCGATACCCAGCCTGACGTGAGCAGCAATCTGGGCCTTCTGAGTAACTCCCCCCATTTTCTATACTGGGCATGATGTGCTGTGGTATGGAATACCCCTTTGGTTAGTTTGGGTCAGCTGTCCTGTCTCTGCTTCCTCCTGGCTTCTTGTGCCCTTCCTCACTGGCAGATCACGAGACTGAAAAGTCCTTGATCAGAGTAAACATTACTTGGAAACAACTAAAAACATCAGTGTGTTATCAGCACTGTTCTCAGACTAAAGTCAGAACACAGCACTGCACCAGCTACGAGGAAGGAGAAAAATAACTGTTACAGCCAAACCCAGGACAAGGAGACACAGTGATGATGGGAAAAGTGCTCCCAGCAGTGGTCCCCAAGCTCTGCTGACCCACAGGCTGCAAAAATGAGTCAGCAGTGCGCTCTGTACAGCTCTGTACTGTCATGGAGTAACTTTTCTACTTTCACAGCACTCCATTCTTCTGCAGACTCCTCAAGGTAACACATGGCCAGCGTGCCAGGCTTTGGGAGTGACTACCCAAGAGACTTACTTTGTCTATTCTTTATTGAGTTTTGTTCTTCCTGGATTGTGGTGTCTGTGACTCTGGCAAAGGCAGTTGCTGTTGAACAGTACCCATGATGAACCAAATACGATGAAACCATACTAGAAAATAGGAAAATACAAACATATGAAGACATTGGTAAAACAGGATAATCCACTGAAGAAAAAAAAAAAAAAAAAATTTCAATGCAACTGATGCAAAGGGTTAACAAATGTACAGGGGGGTTAGGGTTGAGCCACTTGCTTAACAATGATACTGCTTGCTCATGCTTATCGTACATGGTATTTGCAATGCACAAGGGGATAGGTCAAACCGCTTACTTAACAACGCTACTGCTTGCTCATGCTTATCGTACTTGCAATGTACAAGGGAACAGATCAGGACACTTGCTTAACGATATCATTGCTCACTCATGATTATGCTAGGACAAGATATAAGGACATAGCTATTGTTAAGAAGTAGGGACTGTGACTTGATTCCAGTCCATTGGACGCCTGGGCCGGCTGAAATTGGCTCTGCGCTTTGGACAAAGACAGAGCCTCCAGGGAGCATGCGTAACGACCAGAGGTGAAAAGTTCAGGCTCGAGGAAGACTCGTTTACTTAATCTTGAGAGCCTCACCCACGACCACCAGAAGGCACTGCGCAGGCGCAAAGGACTTCTTAGCTCATTATAATACGAAACGGGGATAGGACATGAATATGCATAGGCGTGTTGTGCAACCTCATGCATATGTATAACTTTAGAGGATAAATGTAAAGGGGAAACAACGATGAGGTGCACATGCTTTTGGAGGAGCTATCCCCCATGCGCCTCAGCGCTGAATAAAGCATACCTACTTTACAACTTTAGCGAGCTGTGGACTCTATCCACTCATCACAACAGAAACTGCAAGTGCAGTGACCAAACTCAGCTTGCTTAGGACATAACCAGGGTTCAGACAGTGTAAATTTACAAGATAGGCACCTGGTCCTCAGCAAACAGGAGGAAGGCTCTAAATTCACCTTACAGGGGCTGGGGGAGAATAATAAAAAAAAATAAAGAATCCCAGTTCATACACGCTATTTATTTCATGCCTGCTGTCCAGGGTCACTTGTAAGGGCTTAGTACTGCATCCAGTGACGTCTTATAGAGACAGCACATCTGAACCTCAGAAAGGCTCACGGTTTCCAAGTAGATCTCAAAAATAAAACATTCTGGTCCTGAATTTCTTCCACCACTTATTTTGCCAGCAATTTTATCTCTGGTAGTTGAATCTTCTTATGAATTCTACACATTCACAGCTAGTTTTATCTGCTGATTTACAACAAGTAGACCATCAGCACTGATTTTACAAACATTAACACATTTTAAAGCTGTATTTTCAAAAATGTTGGGAGGGAGGAGGAGGCAGCATCACTGTCAGAAAACAAACACCACAAAGCATCTTTCTGAACAGAGCATTTCTAAAGCACTTCTGCCTCCCAGGATATAGTGGTTAAATGCTAATGCTCACCAGATCTTAACAAAAGCTAAAAAGTCAGCACAGGATTTCAAAGCTTCTAGTGATGAATCTCAAAATAGGCTTCTCATGAAGAAGCTGGTATTGAACTAAGTCACAGCTCAAACCTCATGTTCAACTTGGCTACTCTCAGTACAAGGAAGTAGTATTTTATGAGTCAGCAATTGTTTTCAGGCATAACATTGTAAGCATGTGTGCAATTTTTAAAACTTGCTTTAAAAGCAAGTGCTTCTGACCAGGGTTGGTCCAAGACATGCCCTTTGCCCTTGGCATGGCACAGACAAGAAGATCCAAGCGCACCCCTCTTGCTCTCAAGCACAGTAGGTGCCAGGTTACCCTGGCTCAGCCAGGTTGAAACACTCAACACTGATCCAGGCTGACAGGAACAGAGGGAAAAGGCAACTCTTGCTCCAGTGTAATTCAGTAGCCAGAGTGAGAGGCAGTAAAGATTTAAATACTGCACAAAACCTGAGCTCCTCCCTATGCCACTTCTGCCCGTGGCACCACAGAAAGGGTCCCTGCTGGGTACACAGCAGTATTACACGCTGGTCACTATGACAGGCTCATTTTCAGCAATGACTTATCAGTTCTGTCTCAGCTACTTCCTACAGCCGTGCTGCACACTCTCAAACATCCAGCAGCATGTTTGCATCCAGAGGTACTTCTCCTGAAGTTCTGGGGAAACATTACCACACTGCACTGTGACCTATGTGACATGTTCATGCAGACAATAAAAAAACTTTCTGAATCCCAGGTTCTCCAAATGAGTGCTTTTACCACTTGGGAACCATGGTTAAGACTTGTAGACAGCAGAAGTGCTCGAATCATGGGAGCAGCTATCTCTGTGCTGCATCTCAGAGGGCTTCTCTCACCTGGAGCAGTCATGGTGGTTGGTGGTAGAGAGGCTTGTACCATATCTGGCTTTTCCTCTTCAAAACAGAACTCAACTGCATGCTTCTCCCGCACATAAAGTTCTCTTTCTGCATGGTACCACTTAGACTCTCAAATGAACAATGCCAAGTCCTCCCACTTTATCAGAAATAAGGACCTACAGCATTCCCCCCCTCCCATAATCAACCACACCAGCTGACCTCAAGTCTCAGATACTCCTACTCAGGTTCTTCATGGCAAAAGCTAAAAAAGGGTAGAGATCCTTAAGAGTGTAACAACACACAAAGACAACAAGTTATCCACATGAGTCCCTTTCAGGATTCCAAGCCCTTGAAAACCTTGCCAGATCAGCCTCTCCAGTGACAGGATATCCAGGAGTGCAACACAGATGAAAAATTCTGCCAGGCTAATTCTTGCTCTGCAGGTAGGCACTCCTAACAACAAACCTTCCCAGTGACAGCCTCTCTAAGTCTGCACCTCTCAGGATCTGTCAGGGAGGAGAGTCTTTGAAGAGAAGGAAATGAATGCTTAACTGCAAGGTTAGAGATTAAATAAGATACTATGAATCTGAACGAAACCACAGGACAAGAAAACATCATCCCAAGAGCTTGGGGCTCCAACCTGAAATAGATGGACTACTAACATGAGGTATAATCCCTGACCGAAACCTGCCCACAGAGAGGAGGAAGATAGAAACACGATGCTGATTCTTAAAAAGAAGTCCAAAGGAGATATGAGAAACTCCAAAGCAGTGACCCTGACACCTCCACCATGCATGTCAGCAGGAACAATTCTGGAGAACGCAAGGAACAAATACAGGGATAAACCTGTCCTACTGCAGAAGAATCAGTGGCTTTTGTAAAGGGAAGTCATGGCTCCCTCATTTGGTGATATTTTGGGAGGGAGTCTGGAAACAGGCAGAGAAGAGATACTTTTGCAATCCACTTGGTTGTCCAAAGATGTTTCACAGTCTTTCAGCAAACCCTCCCACAGAAATTGCGTTACCATGTGATAAAAGGAAAGGTCCAACATGGCTGAACATTCAGTTCAACAATGCAGTGGCAAAACCCGTCATTTTTACCCGGGAAAGGAAAAAACCACTCTAGTGCTGCAGGAACATGTGCTACCAACATACTCATAAAACTAAGCTTGACAGACCAGTGCTCTCACACACTGCAGGTCCTTTCACGTTCGAAGATGCAGGGGATGCACTTTTTTCTGAAAAAGTCACCTTTTGAGCACTAGGAACCAAGTATTTCCATTTAAATATCAATTAAACCCTTCCTTCTCTTTGGCTGCTTTCCAAAAGCAGATCTTGTCTTTCCAAAGCCGGGCAAGGTGCGGTGCAGAGAACGGAATGCCCCCACTGAGTCAACGGTATAGTACATCAGAATGAAAAAGAATGTTAAAGTCAATGCCAGTTGTTACATCTCATCCATGCTGGGTCAGACCAAACACCCTGTTGCCCAGTACTTGGACCTCCTAAATGGCAAAAGCAAATGCCTAGGAAAAAATAAAGGAACAAGGCACACGTGAAATATACTTTTCCCTATAACCCTTCCAGCTTCCAATGATCAGTCAGGTAGCTCCTATCCTGGTGGTGGAACCTCACTCCACCATAGTTCTGATAGATTTTTCTTTCTAATAACTTCTTCAGTCACTTTTTGGATCCATGCTGTTTTCATGGCACCTTATGGAAGAGAGCGTGAAAAAAACCCCTCCTTTATTCTTTCTAAATGTGCCATCTGGTTAACTTCACTTAAAATCATAGGATCATTTAGGTTGGAAAATACCTTTAAGATCATCGAGTCCACCATTTACCCCAGCACTGCCAAGGCCACCATTAACCCATGTCACTGAGGGCCTCATCTACATAGTCTGTGAATACTTCCAGGGACAGTGACTCCACCACTGCCCTGGGCAACCTGTTCCAATGCCTGAACACCCTCTTCGGGGAAGGAATTGTTTCTAATCTCTAGTCTAAACCTCTCCGGCGCAGCTTGAGGCCATTTCCTCTTATCCTATCACTTGATCCTTGGAAGAGACCAGCCCCCTCCTGGCTCCATCCTCCTGTCAGGCAGTTGTAGAGAGTGATAAGGTCCCCCCTGAGCTTTCTCTTCTTCAGACTAAATCCCCCCAGGTCCCTCAGCCGCTCCTCATCACACTTGTGCTCCAGAGTCTTCACCAGCTCCGTTGCCCTTCTCTGGCCCTGATCCAGCACCTCACTGTCTCTCTTGTAGTGAGGGGCCCAGTAGAATTGTTCCTTCATCACCTTGTAAAGGTTATCCAAGACATTTTTTCACACTTCTGCCTTACCCTTAACAACCAACGCTGTATATTTATTCCCTGCCTTACACCCACCCACCCCATGTGCAAAGGCATATCCTGATTTATGGGCTTGTTCTTGGGTTTTTTTCATGCTTTTCTCACTTCTACTGCATGCTTTTGGAGAGAAAGAACCAAAACATCACATTAAGGGTGCACCACATATTCACACAGTAACAGAATTATTTTTGGCCTCTGGTTTTCCCCTGACAAATCCTTGCATTACTTTTTTTTTTTCTGCTTGCTACCAAAAAAAAAAAAAAAAAAAAAGCTGACATTTCCGTGTAATGATTCATCAGATCCCAAAGATGATCTCATTCCTTCCTGAAGGGTCCCTTATTCCCATCCATTCCAGCGCAATTCCTCACCCACTCATTCCCTCTTTTGTCTCTTAAACAACTCATAATCCACATCAGGCATGTGCCCTTAGCCTCTGGCTGCATAGGCCCACCTTAGTTTGAGTGAGGGAACTTCTCAAAAGGCTTTTTGGACTTCCAAGACGAAGACAGCAGCCCAAGAACCACACTGACATGCCTGCAGGCTCCTCTTTGCAAAACCCACATCCAGTATCTGAAGGGGGCCTATAGGGATGCTGGGGAGGGACTCTTCATTAGGGACTGTAGTGCCAGGACAAGGGGTAACGGGTTAAAACTTAAACAGGGAAAGTTTAGATTGGATATAAGGAGGAAATTCTTTCCTGTTAGGGTGGTGAGGCACTGGAATAGGTTGCCCAGGGAGGTTGTGAATGCTCCATCCCTGGCAGTGTTCAAGACCAGGTTGGATGAAGCCTTGGGTGAGATGGTTTAGTGTGAAGTGTCCCTGCCCATGGCATGGGGGTTGGAACTAGATGATCTTAAGGTCCTTTCCAACCCTAACTATTCTACGATTCTATGATTCTAAATCCTGTGTAAAATCCCACAAAAGAGGCAGTCTAAGAAGCTTCTTTGAATTCAGCACATTTCTCCACGCACAATGGGAGGCTACAGGTATTCTTGAGTGTCAGACACCTTCTTGCAATTTCTCAATTGAAAAAACCCAAAACTGACAATAAAAACCACCCCCCAAAACCCATACAAGCCCCAAACAAAACCCTAACCATGCAAGCATAAGCCTCGCAAGCCAAAAACCCTAAACAAAAACACTAAACCAAGCACAACCATAAATTTCTCAAGCCATAAAACCACCACAAAATGACAGGAAGGTGTTGATGAATTAAGATGATTCCGAGAAAATAAAGAAACAGAAAAGTGATTTCTTATGCTTTTGATTTTTCCACATGTTGCCTAACAGTGGAGGATGCATGAGGGGCATGACAAGGTCTATTACACTCTGAAGAGTTAAAATCATTCCATTTTCACCCCAAAGTGGTTTGGACACAGAGACTATGGGATGGACAGGGTGCCCTGAGTGGCAGAGAGAACCCAAAACACATGGAGCTGAAATACGTTGGTACCAGTGTTTGGCCTCTGGAGGAGGGGACACAAGCGGACACAAGGACATACAGTGCATCCCCTCACATCGCCTGATATGTTTCTAAAGCAGAGTAATTAGCAGGGCAGGTTTTTAACCAGAGGAAATAGAGCAGCCTGGAAGAAATTTCCTATGATGAAGATGGCGAAACACTGTCACAGATTCCCCAAAGAGGTGGTGGTTACACCCTGGAGACACTAGAGGCCAGGCTGGATGTGGTTATGGGCAACCTGATCTTGTTGAAGATCACAGAATCAGCTAGGTTGGAAAAGACCTTTAAGATCAAGTTACCCCAGCACTGCCAAGGCCACCACTAAACCATGTCCCTATGGACCTCATCTCTATGGGTTTTTAACTCTTCCAGGGGTGGTATTCCTGCTTATCGCAGAGGGTTGGACTAGATGACCTTCAAAGGTCCCTTCCAACTGAAACTATTCTATGATCTATTCTATTATCTATGTGTCCAACGCATCTACACTTCAGTAGCGCTTCTATGCACCTGTCCAAGTCAGACATCAAGGTTCTCTCAGCCCATCGGTGCCTGACTCTCTTCTGAAACCCTTCAATGAAACACGGCACCATACACACCATCCTCCCCTTCTCTTGATGCAAGGCAGTTTGGAGAGAAATTTTGTTCCACAGCCACAAGTTCACCTGTTTTCTCCTTGAGTCTCATTAGGAGTCTGGGCAAATATCTGATCCCAGAGACTTTCTTGACTTCCCCTCACCTATTTATTCCAGTGCTTCTTTGACAGACACTTCAAACCCAGACACAGGCTCTGCCAAGTCCTTCATAAAGAAGCATCCCAGCATGACAACCTACCTGATTTCTGGACACACACAGGCAAAGAATTCAATTTGATATGGTCTTATACTCCCCAAGGTCTCTTTTTATACTGCAGTCTTCCTACAGGCCCTACAAACTCTCTGGCAAGCCTCCTGCTCCTTATTTTCTTGAAGAAAGATATTATTACTATTTTCAATAGCTTCTGCTAGTTGTTTTTCAAAAGTTTTGCTGATTGCCCTGAATTATCTTCAAATAACTAAATACAAGACTAACAGAAAACAAGAACGATCACATGGATGTGATTATAACTGCATCTAAGTCTCCTGAATGACAGTGACCGGTATCAGGTGTTTAGGGAAAGAACATAATAAAAAGGTGAAACACAGAGCTCTCTGTAATCAGAGATAGAAGCAACAGCCATAGACCTGGAGGTTCAAAATATAACCGTGGAATTGGCCTCTGTGGATTACCATAAATATTTAAATATGTATCTTTTAAAATCTACTTAAACTCCCACTACTTCTTGCAGCAGCAAGTCCCACAGTTTCAATGAAAAAAAAAAAATATTGTTTTTAATTGAGAATGTGCTTTTCCTCTAATTCTTGTGGTTTGGGAAACAGTGAATAATTACTTTCTAGCCATGCTCTTCATGGTGTGAATGACTGATGACAGACAACTTCCTCCATCTTCCAACTTCCATCTTCCTCAATTACCTGTTTCCAAGCTGTGAAGCCTTAGTCAGCTCTGTCTTCCTTCAGGCAGAAGATACTCTTGACCTCTGACAACTCTTGTCAATTGTTCTCGTCAAGCTCCACTCAATCCTTTTTGCCATTGGAAATGCATTCAATATTCATACATTTACAAAGTGCCATAACTGTGTTTTCAGTTAAGTTGAGTTTGGAAGCCTTTGGTTTAGGCTATTTCTTGCTCTTTCATTTCTCAATTCAGCTGACTTACATACTGGCTTTTCTTGTATGTTAAGAGTTTTTATGGTGTCCTTTACCCTCCCCTTCCCCCAGTGCTTCACCTCAAAGTTCCTACAAACTTTCACACAGTCTTTGGCTGAAAACTTCTTCCATATCTTTTACATTTGAAACAGCAGCGATCTACATAGGAAAGACTATCAAACAACAAAACAGAGGGTAACACAATTTGAGCAAAATGCACTACCTGGCAATTTTTGCCATAAGAATGCATAAATTAGCATTAAAAAAAGTATTTATGGCCTAAAAGAACAGAGGAAGCTGAACATCAGAACAGTGACTTACTTCTGCAGCATGGCTTGCCACTCGCCTAGTCTGGCTCCTATGGGAAACTGCTTAATGGTGCTCTGAATCTTTGCTCGCCACTCCCTCATGTAGTCCTCAATGTCGAACACAAATGGCTGCTGCCCAAAGTTGGCATCAACTATCTCTCCTGGAGTCTGAAGACCCACCGTAGGGTAGAGATTTGACTAGGAAAGAAGAAAAAGAAACGTCTATTAAACTGAGATTTCTGTTCCTAGTTCCAGTTACGTGGTTTGGTAAGACAGAAGAGCTGCTCTTTGCATTGAACAATGTACTGGAGCAGGGAGGGGCAACAGCCCTTTGGGGACCTCTCAAGGAACACCACGACTTATTGCACAGTTATTGAAAACTATTGCATAAAACCAGAGCCACGGGTTCAATCCCCCAGCAGTCACTGACTGATGCCATGGCTGCTGGCCATGGCCTGTCCACTTCCTGGCTTAGTCTTCTAAGCAATTTCTACCAAAGTTCAAGAGCCAGCAGCTAACAACAACAGCAATAAAAATGAAACGGGCATCATGTCAATACGCAGATCTATGTGTCCTCCACTTTTTTTGACTGATTTCTCTTATTCCTTGGCAGCTGACACGCTGGATACTGACCTAGCCAGAAACCAGACACTGGGCAAGACGCGCGGATGTCCACAGTGGAATTCAAGTCTGGAAGGTGCCTGGTTGTCCTGTCTTGCTCATGGTGGAATCCATGTCAGAGTAGATCAGCAGAGGGGCAGACCTCTCTAGATCAAATCAGCAAGATCTACTACTGTGGGGTAGACGGTCATCCTAAAGAAAGCCTAAGTTCTCTCCTCCTCTATAGCGAGGGGCATGGGCTTCCCTGCAGTTACCTGGAACACTTATTCAACTCATTTTTTCACTATTGCAGAGACCTGAGACACTGGCAACGTCACTGATTGCCCCTTGAGACCTTGCTGTGGATTTTACTTTTTACTAAAGGTATTAAGACGGTTATGAGGTGGAACTCAGCAGAATCCTAATCCCATTGGTAAAAATGGAGCCAGCATGCTGTGGAAAGCGATTACTTCTCTCTGCTTTCGCTGGCATGGCTACGTCTGCAGTACCATACTTGGTTCCCCACTTCCAAATCCACCTCCCCAGGACAAGAAAAAATCACAAATGGGGCCCAGCAGGGTTCTGCTATGAGGGTCAGAGGGTTGGAGTGCACAGCACATAAGGAGAGGTTGAGGGAATCACCCTGGAGAAAAGAAGGCAAAAGGGCAATATCTAACTGCAAGTCTTCCACTCCCAAAAGGAATGTGATAAAAAAAGATGGAGACAGATTTTTCTCAAGGATGTTCAGTGAAAGGACAATGGGCACAAGCTGCAACCAGGGAAATTTTGATGGGACGTAAGGAAGAAATTCTTTCTTGTAAGGATAATTAAGAACCGGAACAGGTTTCCAAAGAGACTGAAGCACTTCTATCCTCTGAGGTATTCAAAACTCAACTGGATAAGGTCTTGACCAACCTCCTCTACCTTTGAGATGATCAAATCTCAAAAACCAAAGGAAAAAACATGAACCTATAAATAGAGGCTGGAAATGAGGATGACCACATTGTTGCTGACTCAGCACACCTCCTTTCCTATTCTCACGCCAAGGAAGTCGCTGGGTTAGAGGTGTGCAAAGAAAATAAGAGCACGACACAGGAAGAGCTACCAGAGGAAAACAGCATGTTTAAAGTCAGTCTCTCCTCTTTCAAACCTTGCTGACAAAGAAATATCTGTAATGAGGGATCAGACCTTTTCCACAGTCCATAAGTTCAACTTCTTTATTAACTTAGCTTTTTAGTATTATGAACCCAAGGACATACAAAGCCAGGAATCAGACACCCAAAATACCTGGAAGTTAGAAGTTAAAAAAAAAACCAACAAGATACAACATATCACATATTTTTCGGCCATTTTGGGGTGTGCTCATCTTTGAGGGGAAGCTGCCCATCCCCAACTGCTCTCAAATCACCTCCAAATTAAAATTCCGTTTTTCACATGTGGGATGTGTCCTCTCTGGTTAGCAACTTTTAGAAACCACACATATCTCCACCACCCTGCCAGATGCAGGGAGACATCACCCCAGAGCCCACTAACCAGGCAGATGCTTCTGACAAGCTCTTCACATCTTCCCCTGCCAAATCCACACTGGAAAGCTCTATGGCCACACTTCTGCTGCGAATGACAGAGCAATGGTATGGGTGCTGGATGGCTATTTTTTATTGATAAGAGCCTAAATAGTAATTACCCATCTACCCCAACATGAAGAGTGCTCTCATCTCAGAAAGAGAAGCAGTCTAGCCAGATGAGAAAACAAAGTGGTGAAAAAATTAGAAGTAATATGGTAAAACTGTGACTCCTAATGTAATCCAAGTCCAGAGGGAAAACAAAGAGCACCTAAAGCTAAGGGATAACAGCACAGAGGAATGTTCCTGCTATGGAGCAAGGCTGTCAAAACAACTCACTCCAAAAGGTGAGGACAGGTAAAAATCATCTTTTACTTTTTTAAAAACTGTACTTAGATCAAGTGAATAAAATGCTATGAAACAACCCACAGAAAGAGGGTTTCTGGCTTTGAACACACTGCAACCAAGTTCAGCGAGCCTGGGAACCAAGGAAAAAACAGTATTGACAGCTGATGTGAAAAGGCATATTAAATAACTGGAACATCTTTCAGCACAGACACTGGCTGGGATACAGGAGAGATCGGTAAAGCCATAAATCCCATTGGGAAGGCAACCAGGGAGGGCTAGGCATTATTTCTCACAACACAAAAATTAGAGGAACAAAATATATTTTTCAGCAAGAGGTGCCAGGCAGAGCAAGCTTTCTTCCACACAGTGCTTCTGTGCTTCTAGCCAACCAAGAAAATCAGCACTTTGAAGGCCTAAACAAGTTATGGAAACCAAGGAATTCCTCAGAGGAAATTCACTTGGGGTTATTAAGTACAAAGACAGGAGTGCAATCTCAGGGACAAGAAGTTCTGTGTATGAGGGAAGTGGGTGCAGTGGATGTATCGGTGTATGCCTGACCTGTCTTTATCTTCTTTTTCTAAAATTCTGCTCCTTGTCCAAGAGAGTCTGAAAAAGAGCAACCATGGTTTTGCTCATGACTCACTGTGAAAGTCGTGCTTTTCTACGTTCTGACTAGATGCTATTGCCTGGTGTAACTCAGTTGGCGAATCAGAGGAGTAACTATCAGCCCCACATGGATACAAAATACATTCCTCCGGCAATTCCACGAGCTGGTTACTCATCGTGGGAGAAGGCTTGTCAAAAACTTGTGTGATGAGCAGGCATGCTAAAGCCAGATTGATGATGGGACATATGAGAGGCTACTCAATAGCTTTGCACAGACTCCCCAGAGTCAAAGCTGCATTAGGAAGACACTGACCCGTAATGAAGTTTGAATCCTTGTTTTAATTAGAGGAAAAGGATCCCTCACCACCTCCAGAGGATGCCTCACCCTCCAGAGGTGGCGAGGGATGACAGGAGGCATGTGATTAGCCCACAAACCCAGGCACAGGATTACAAAGTCACAGAAAAAAGAGCATCCGCATCATTCAGTAACGCTTTAACATTGCTTTCTTTAACAGGGCATCAAACAATCACACAAACACTCTTCCCTCTCCCTTCACTTTGCATCCCTAGTTAAAAAAAAGAAAAGAGGTGTACTTACAGGGAGGTCTGTAAAGGCTATACCTGTGGGGGGAAAAAATACTAGAATTAAAAAGACACAAGATTTTCTCCCTGCTTGGCTACATAGAATCCTAGAATAGTTAGGGTTGGAAAGGCACTTAAGATCATCTAGTTCCAAACCCCCTGCCATGGGCAGGGACACCTCGCACTAAACCATGCCACCCAAGGCTCTGTCCAACCTGGCCCTGAACACTGCCAGGGATGGAGCATTTACCACTTCTTTGGGTAACCTGTCCCAGTGCCTCACCACCCTCACAGTAAAGAACTTCCTCCTTATATCTAACCTGAACTTCCCCTCGTTAAGTTTGAAGCCGTTACCTCTTGTCCTACCACTACAGGCCCTAATGAAGAGTCCTTCCCCAGCATCCCTATAGCCCCCCTTCAGATACTGGAAGGCTGCTATGAGGTCTCCACGCAGCCTCCTCTTCTCCAGGCTGAACAGCCCCAACTTTCTCAGCCTGTCTTCATACAGGAGGTGCTCCAGTCCCCTGATCATCCTCGTGGCCCTCCTCTAGGCTTGTTCCAACAGTTCCATGTCCTTTTTATGTTGAGGACAACAGAACCATACGCAGTACGCCAAGCGAGGTCTCACAAGAGCAGAGTAGAGGGGCAGGATCACCTCCTTCAACCTGCTGGTCACGCTCCTTTTGATGCAGCCCAGAATACGGTTGGCTTTCTGAGCTGCGAGCACACACTGAAGCTGGCTCGTGTTCAGTCTCTCATCAAGCAACACCCCCAAGACCTTCTCTGCAAGGCTGCTCTGAATCTCCTCTCTGCCCAAACTGTAGCGGTGCCTGGGATTGCCCCGGCCCAGGTGTAGGACCTTGCACTTGGCACATACCGAAACACAGCAACATTAGGTAGCAACTCTCAGCTCTGAGAATGCTCTTCACGACCTGTAGTATCTAGAAGTAACTTCCTTCCCCAGCCCCCTCCTCTGGAAGGTTTTGCATCTGGAAAAAGGTTCAGGGAAGAGCCTAAATGTTTCCAACATCTGACCCAAAACTTGATTTTCTAAAAGGCAGCTCCTCTTTTCTTTGCTTCTCCCTCTGTTATTATGAAGGAATCAGTTTTCAAGACTCACTTGGGCTTAACAGAGTTTTACCATAACATTGCTCCGGTTAAGGCTATAAATAGTTCTCACTAGCCAGAGAGACAGGGATGAACATTCAACACTTTGCATTACTGCCGGGGAAAAGCCTTGCAACAGGATTCAAGAGCACCCGAGAACAACTCCATCCTCAACTACACTGCTACAGTTCCAAACAGAAGAGATGGAAGGGATGGCTCCGATGACTGGAGTGTTGGAATGGAAGGTTATAAGCTCTTCAGGAAAGACAGACCAGGCAGATGGGGAGGTGGAGTAGCTATTTATGTCAGTGATAGACTGGAGAGTATGAAACTCTGCCTGGGGACGGGTGATGGGCCAACTGAGAGCTTGTGGGTCAGGGTGAAAGGGAGAACAGCAATGGGGGACATTACTGTGGGGATCTTCTTATAGGCCGCACAATAAGGAAGATGCCATGGATGAAGCAATCTATAGACAGACAGGAGCAGACTCACACTCACAGGGTCTTATCCTCATGGGCGACTTCAACCACCCGGACATCTGTTGGAGGGTCAGTACGGCCTGGCGCAAGCAATCCAGGAGATTCCTCGACTGTATGGAAGACAACTTCCTCCTGCAAGTAACAGAGGAGCTGACAACGAGAGGTGCCATGCTTGACCTCGTGCTCACCAACAGGGAAGGGCTGGTGGGGAATGTAAGACTCCAAGGCAGCCTTGGCTGCGGCAATCATGTGACGGTAGAGTTTGAGATCCACAGGGCAGTGAGAAAGGCACACAGCAAGCTCACTGCCCTGGACTTCAAGAGAGCAGACTTTGGCCTCTTCAGGAACCTGCTCAGTAAGGTTCCATGGGATAAAGCCCTAGAGGGCTGGGAGGCCCAAGACTGCTGGTTGATATTCAAAGATCACCTGCTACAAGCTCAGTAGTGCTGCATTCCAACTAGAAGGAAATGGGGCAAGAAGGCCAGGAGACCTCCATGGATGAATAAGGAGCTGCTGAGGAAGCTTAGAGGGGAAAAATGAGGCTTATAAAAGGTGGAAGCAAGGACAGGTGGCCTGGGAAGAATACAGGGACATTGCCCAGGAAGCTAAGGCCCAGCTAGAATTAAATCTGGCAAGGGATGTGAAGGAAAACAGAAAGGGCTTCTATAGGTATGTAGCAAATGAAAGACAGACGAGGGATTACGTGGGCCCTCTCCGGAAGCTATCAAGAGAAATGGCTACCCTGGATTTGGAGAAGGCTGAGGTTCTCAACAACTTCTTTGCCTCAGTCTTCACTGGCAAATGCTCTGACCACACCACCCAAGTCTTGGAAGGCGGTTGCAGGGACCCTGAGAATGAAGACCTTAGGCCCACTGTAGGAGAGGATCAGGTTTGAGACCATCTTAAGAACCTGAATGCGCACAAGTCCATGGGACCTGATGAAATCCATCCGCGGGTCCTGAAGGAGCTGGCAAAGGAAGTTGCTAAGCCCCTGTCCATCATATTGCTAAGCCACTGTCGATTACGTTTGAAAAACCGTGGCAGTCAGGTGAAGTTTCTGATGAGTAGAAAAAGGGAAATATAACCCCCATTTTCAAGAAGGGGGAAACGGAAGACATGGGGAATTACAGACCAGTCAGTCTCACCTCTGTGCCTGGCAAAATCTTGGAGCAGATTCTCCTGGAAAGCATGCTAAGGCACATGAAAAGCAACCAGGTGGTTGGTGACAGCCAACATGGCTTCACTAAGGGGAAATCCTGCCTGACCAATTTGGTGGACTTCTATGATGGGGCTATGGAACTGATAAGACAGGGGCAAAGCAGTTGACGTCATCTACCTGGACTTGTGCAAAGAAGCATTCGACACTGTCCCGCACAACATCCTTGTCTCTGAATTGGAGAGGCATCAATTTGATGGATGGACCACTGGGTGGCTAAAGAACTGTCTGAATGGCCGCACGCAAAGAGTTGTGGTCAATGGCTCAATGTGCATTTGGAGATTAGTAACGAGTGAAGTTCATCAGTGTTGGGACTGATCTTGTTCCACAACTTTATTGGCGACATGGACATAAGTGGGATTGTTGGCGACATGGACATTGGGAGTGAGTGCGCCCTCAATCCCTGACACAGCTACAGGTTGGGCAGAGAAGAGATTCTGAGCAGCCCTGTTGGAGAAGGACTTGGGGGTTTTAGTTGATGAGAAACTGAATATGAGTCGGCTTCACTGTGCGCTCGCAGCTCAGAAACCAACCATGAAAAAGAAAGTTGGGGCTGTTCAGCCTGGAGAAGTGAAGGCTGCGAGAAGACCTCATAGCAGCCTTCCAGTGTCTGAAGGGGGCCTACAAGGATGATGGGGAGGGACTCTTCATTAGGGACTGCAGCGGTAGAATAAGGGTTAATGGGCTCAAACGTAAACAGGGGACGTTTGGGTTAGATATAAGGAAGAAGTTCTTTACTGTGAGGGTGGTGAGGCACTGGAATAGGTTGCGCAAGGAAGTTGTGAATGCTCCATCCCTGGCAGTGTTCAAGGCCAGGTTGGATGAAGTCCTGGGTGACATGGTCTAGTGTGAGGCATCCCTGCCCATGGCAGGGGGGTTGGAGCTAGATAATCTTAAGGTCCTTTCCAACCCTATCTATTCAATGATTCTATCATTCTATCTGTGAGAGACACCTTTGGGCAAAATTTTTAAGTCCATAACTTTAGGGGAAATAAACAACTGTGGAATGAACCTAATCGTAGGTAAGTGCTTAAGTAAGACTTCTTAAGCTGAATTAATGTCCAAGTTTGGGAATGCTTGGACTGACGTGTTAAGGCTCACAGACGGACAAGTCCCTTTAAAAAATGAAAAGATGCTGGTACAGTTGCTTTGCAGGTAGTTGAATAACACACTAACTAAACGTACCACTTCTTTATTTCCCTGTTGACCAAACATTTGCCATCTCATCCTACCTCCCACTGGTTGTGCAGTAGCAGAAGAAAAGAGCAGAAGCTAGGGATGCAATCCTAACCTACCTCAACAGATAAAGCAGCATGGAAACCCTTTCACATGCTGGAAGCATTTCTGTCTTGCAGCCCATTTCCAACTCCTGACTGCTGCCCAGCACTGTTTTTCTCTCCCATTCCACAAATGTGGGACAAGTGTTACGACACATGCCAAGTATTAGAGTAACCAGCAGCAAGAGCAGGGGAGGAGCAACCCTCTCCTGAGAACACCTTTCTTTACTTACCTAAGCTGTGGCCATTTTTCGTGTAGAAGCAGGTACTGTTGATGAGGTTGACGCAGCAGCCAATCACATCTCCAGTGGTGAACGTAGGGCCATAGGGCTGTCCTGTCCCCGAAGAGCAGAAGGAGTGCCCATCATCCCCATGGTACCCATAGGAATGTTTATCCCATCCTGCACAAGACAAGACAAAAGAACAAGTCAGCAGTGAGGCCACTTCAGCTGAGGACACAATTTTCGGGGAGGAAATTCAAAATTTTTAATCCTACTCCTGATACATCCCAATATTAATTTTCACATACCAGTAACTGAAAAGTCATCAATCATGATACATCAATTAGATTTCAACCTCGTTTGTCCCTTATGAGAAATAATTAAAGGAACAAATTGCCAAAAGTCATTGAGAGATTTTGTTTCAAAAGCCATTAAAAACCTATTTCTGCTTTATCTTGCCTGCAGTTGTATTTCCCACTAACACCATCTTCCAGCAGAAGCATTTAATGAAATAATTCTCAGCCAAGTGCAGCATTGTCTGCTCACAGATGTAACCCAATGGCCAGAGGCACCTTTTGCATTCTCACATTTACATTTCCCTTCCAACAGCTGATAAGGATTTCTGTGTTCCCCTTGGGTGGTGACATTTCCCATTCTGTGGGCATCGTACAGCACAACTCTCAGCTGGTGATTTTAAAAGTGTCCAATTCTAACATTAATATATTTTATTTCTTCTGCTAGTAACACTGTGCCAGAGTTACCGCTGGGCTCAGGGACTGCGTCCTGCCCGCTTGCCCTTTTCCACACCTCACAGTAATTCCACTATTCAGAGCTCCTGATTTTGCTCTGTTCTACCCCAATTCTGTTGTAGATTCTTTTGTGAATTTCCTACATATAGAAAGGCCAAATATAACTGGTAACTACTGCAAAGAAGAGAGATTAATCCAGCTTTTAAAAGCGGAAGTGTTCTTCAGGCAACACACTGGCCTCTTCAGGACTCTCCCTCTTGAAGAGGAGAGGACAGTGTTCCCACAGCTGTGGCCACAGAGTGATTCAGAGCTTCCAGTATCTGAAGGGCCTACAAGAAACCTGGAGAGGGGCTTCAGACAAGGGCCTGTAGGGACAGGACAAGAGGGAATGGCTTTAACCTGCCAAAGGGGAGATTGAGATGAAATCTTAGGCAGAAGTCCTTCCCTGTGAGGGTGCTGAGGCACTGGCACAGGGTGCCCAGAGAAGCTGTGGCTGCCCCATCCCTGGCAGTGTTCAAGGCCAGGTTGGACAGGGCTTGGAGCAACCTGCTCTCGTGGAAGGTGCCCCTGCCCATGGCAGGGGGCTGGATCTGGATGAGCTTTAAGGCCCCTTCCAACACAAACCAGGCTGGGATTCTATGATCTATTAAGTGACAGAGGCAAAGAACAAGTTGGATACAAAAGCTTATCACGTACACAGGCTTCAAATCTCATTGCACTAAATAATTCACAAGCTCATTTTATAGGCCAACATTTCAACTCTTAGCTGATGGGCCAGAACACTTTTATAAAATATTAAGACACCTTCCAAAAAATCTCGCAAGGTAATGGGTAAGAGTCATTGTACAGAGACACTGAGGCAGAGCAGTGAAGTGGCTCAGACAGAAGAGACGTCAGGGTTCCCTGTGGAATGCAGGGGACTAGCACCCAGCTCCTGTTAAAAACAATCCCTGAAACGGTATTTAATGAGGTAAGCAAATTATGAACTATAGAAATTTTTACATAAACACAAGACCTTATGGAGAAGTCTTCCAGAAGCAGCACATCTCATGATGTTAAGTGCTTGCAACAAGGCCTTCTAGATGCAAAACTGAGGTTCCTTAACTACTTTCCACATCAATTAAGGTAAAGCAACAGGGTTTTCTGAAGAGGATCATATTTATCCATCAGTAGAAACATCTGTTCTTCATCAGTTTGAGTCGCAGTGAGATTTAGCTTTGTGTTGATGTTACCTTTTATCTGAAAGGCTCAAGTAATAGGTACAGCCACTATAAAATTATTTTTTCTATTCTGAAAACCAAACAGTGCCGATTACAACTCTTGTTGACAGCTAAATTCCTGTCTCTAAATCACCAGTCAACTCTTAACTGTCACTAAGATCACATGGATTGTCCATAACCTGAGCTACAGTTGGAGATGCAGCCTGTGGTATTGGTGAAGGCCAAAGCACAAAACCCGCTATGCAATGCTGTCCCCACTCCACTTTAGAAACTCTTTTTGCACATGGCACAGAACTAACACAACCTGTGGGATGGCAGAAAGCTCCAGGTGAAGACAGGCTCCAGCATGCCAGTATCATGCATCTGTGGGAACATGCTGCATAAGAGCGCAGAACCTCTACAACGAGCCAGCCCATCTCCAAACGAGTTATGGCACAGAAATCAGGGCATCAAAAAGTGTGGGACATCCTTACTCCCTAAGTAAGAATCACTGATGCCTGAGCACTTAATAGTGGAAACAATTTCTTTGATTAACCTTCCAATGCCAGGGTTTCTGTCTTGAAATACTGACTGATGGTTTTGTTCAGCTTAAATGATGTGACTAAGCACCTTCCCAAATATTCCAGGGTGAAGCATAGTTACTGAAAGTTCAGCGTTTGGTCCGCCTTCTCCATTCAACACTGCAGTCTGCATGCCCAAAGGCAGGTCTAACTAAAAAGACCAACAGACAGAGAGGAGGAAAAAACAACACCTCCCTAAAAACCCTGCCCAAATGGCTGGCAGCAGTTTTGCTGGCTGCAGACAGGGTAGTCAGTAGGAGCAATACAAGCAAACACATGAACTGAAGTGGGTCAGAAGGGTAACAAGGCAGTCACTTTTACTTTATACATTCCTAATTTTCACATAAATATCCATAAATAAAACACTTAACTCAGAAGGTTACTTATCCCCATTCTGTGCTTCAGGAGCTGTTTTTGATACTCTCCACCTCTGAACACATTTGAGAAAGTGTCAGACTGTCATTTGAGGACTTTATTATCACCGCTCTGGGGTCACTCTTCAGCAAGTATCAAGCAGTGAACTAAGGCATATGTCAAACTCCTCTTGCCATGCCAACTCACCCAGTATCAGCTCTCAGCAGAAGGCTCATGTTTTAAAACATGTCCCACCTAAACAACTTGCATCCAGCTAGCGCAAGATAACCTGATGAGGAGGCACACCTAATGAGCAGAGCACAGGAGTGCCGGGGGCTGTGGCAGCCACGAGGATCAAGAAGGAAACTGTTCATGCTTCCAGGCACAAAACCAACTTCCAGTTCAGCAGTTCTTGTTTTGATATTCTCGACTGCTTATAAAAACTGTGTGAGTCTACCAATGATAAGCCACAGCTCCTACACAGCACACTTCAGCATCACGACTCCAAAACCGAAGACCTACTGGGAAGAAAGAGGGAATGGTACATAAGCTTGTGCATTTCTTGCAATTCCTGCACAGCATGTTCATAGTAAAAGTTGTTTTCTTTGCAAGAAGTCACAAAATCCCAGAGTGCAGCCCAGGCTAGGATCTGCCCGGCTAGGAACAGCGCTGGGGAACAGGACCTGGGGGTCCTGAAGGACACAAGATCCATAGGAGTGACCAGTGAGTGGGTGCGGCAGAGAAAGGCAACAGGGTGCTGGGGAAAACCAAACAAGGACACCACCAGCAGAGATAAAGATGTCCTTGTCCCACTGCTCCGTGACTCCCCAGCACTGGACACTGTTAAGATTCAGCTGAACAGGGTGCTGGGACATCTACATTAGGTCATGCTTTGCCTAGAAATGCTGGATCAGATGAAGTTTGAGGCCCCTTCCAACCAGGGATTCCGTGATTCGATGATTACTTCCACTACCACCAAGACAACTCCTGTAGATGCTCTCACTCCATCGCAATCTACAGCATTAATAACTGCGGCATTGCACATCACAGCCTCTTTAATCATAGAAACATAGAATAGTTAGGGTTGGAAAGGACCTTAAGACCATCTAGTTCCAACCCCCCTGCCATGGGCAGGGACACCTTATGCTAAATCATATCACCCAAGGCCTAGTCCAACCTGTTCTTGAACACTGCCAGGCACCAGCAAGAAAACAGACACAGCTAGAAGGCATTTGGCCCAGAAATTACCCAAAATAAAATCACAGAAAAGTTAGGGTTGGAAAGGACCTTAAGATCATCTAGTTCTAATCCCTCTGCCATGGGCAGGGACACCTCACACTAGACCATACCACCCAAGGCTCTGTCCAACCTCGCCTTGAACACCGCCAGGAACGGAGCATTCACAACTTCCTTGGGCAACCCATTCCAGTGCCTCACCACCCTCACAGGAAAGAACTTCTTCTTTACATCCAATCTAAACTTCCCCTGTTTAAGTTTTCATCAGTTACCCCTTGTCCTATCACTACAAGTCCCTAATGATGAGTCCCGCCCCAGCATCCCTATAGCCCCCCTTCAGATACTGGAAGGCTGCTATGAGGTCTCCACGCAGCCTCCTCTTCTCCAGGCTGAACAGCCCCAATTTTCTCGGTCTATCTTCATACAGGAGGTGCTCCAGTCCCCTGATCATCCACGTGGCCCTCCTCTGGACTTGTTTCAACAGTTCCATGTCCATTTTATGTTGAGGACAACAGAACCATTCACAATGCTCCAAACGAGGTCTCACGAGAGCAAAGTAGAGGGGCAGGATCACCTCCTTAGACCTGCTGGTCACGCTCCTTTTGATGCAGCCCAGGATACGGTTGGCTTTCTGGGCTGCAAGCGCAAACTGAAGCCGGCTCATGTTCATTTTCTCATCGACCAACACCTCCAAGCCCTTCTCCGCAGGGCTACTCTGAATCAGTTCTCTGCCCAACCTGTAGCTGTGCCAGGGATTGCTCTGACCCAGGTGTAGGACCTTGCACTTGGCATGGTTAAATTTCATAAGGTTGGCATCTGCCCACCTCACAAGCATATCAAGGTCCCTCTGGATAGCATCCCTTCCCTCCAGCCTATCAACTGAACCACAGAGCTTGGTGTCATCGGCAAACTCGCTGAGGGCATACTCAATCCCACTGTCCATGTCACCGACAAAGATGTTGAAAAAGACTGGTCCCAACACCGATCCCTGAAGGGACACTACTCGTTACTGGCCTCCAGCGGGACATTGAGCCATTGACCACAACTCTTTGCGTGCGGCC